AATGTGTTTTTAATGGCAGCGAAAGGAGTTTTTGCAAAGCTGGGATGCACCTGCCCGGGGCAAGGCAGCCAGGGTGCCTGCGAGGCTTTGTGGGGTGCTGAAGGCAGCTGGCCTTGTGGCTTGGCTCAAGCCTACACAGTGCACAAAATCCAGGGGGTGTGAAACAGCAGCAGCGTGGGAAGTGCGGTGGAAGAAACATTTACAGCTGTCTCCGTAAGGATTGGAAATGGAACTCAGGTGGAGAGCGTTGGCCTCCAGCTGCGGGACAGGTCTCCCCAGCTTTACGCTGAGCCGCGTTGCTGCGGGATGAGCGGGACCCTGCGCCCCTCAGCACTCCTGATGCTTCGGAGGAATCCACCTGCAGAGAAAAGCCGGGGGACCAGCTGGGCTGGGTCTGACCATGCCTTCCCGGGGAGGGTGCCAACAGCAGATGCCCGGAGAAGACAGTGTGAGCAGAGCACATGCAGTGAGTACAGAATCACAGAATGTTCGGGGTTGGCAGGGACCTCTGTGGGACATCTAGTCCAACCCTCCTGCCCAAGCAGGGTCACCCAGCTGCACAGCACCGTGTCCAGGCGGGGCTTGAATATCTCCAGAGAAGGAGACTCCACAGCCTCCCTGGGCAGCCTGGGCCAGGGCTCTATCACCCTCAGAGTGAAGAAGTTCTTCCTCCTGTTCAGCTGGAACTTCCTCTGCTTCAGTTTGTGCCCGTTGCCCCTTGTTCTGTTGCTGGGCACCACTGAAAAGAGCTTGGCCCCATCCTCCTGACACCCACCCTGCAGATATTTATAAGCATTTATTAGGTCCCCTCGCAGCCTTCTCTTCTTCAGGCTGAACAAGCCCAGCTCCCTCAGCCTTTCCTTGTAGGAGACATGCTCCAGTGCCCTCATCATCCTCGTAGCCCTCTGCTGGACTCTCTCTAGTAGCTCCTCATCTTTCTTGAAACACACGCACATGCTGTGTGTGCTACATCCACCCAACGCGCTTTCCTCGCCTGCCCTACGCCCCACGACTGGGGGTTTGGTTTCCTGCACCAGAGCTGCCGTCTGTCTGTCCAGCAGCCTCGGATGAGCTGCTCCTCCGTGCCCATGCCCCTGTGGGTGCAGACAAACGTGCCAAGGCGAGAAGCTGGCCCCGGGGCCGCTTCTACCATGG